TTGCGGTGACGCGACCTGGGGGCCCTTATCCAACCTCGGGTCCCGTGAGGGGCCCGTGTGGAGGCTCTCAGCATGTAACAGCAGCCCTGTCGCAACGCTTCTTCTGGAAGGAGATGCGGAGTGATATGCTGCGTTATGTGGACACCTGTGAGCTTTGCCAAAGGAACAAGGTTCAGCATAAACCTCCTTTGGGACTGCTCAAACCTTTACCCATACCTGATGGCCCTGCCCAATCTGTGTCGATAGACTTCACAGATTTAGGCGAGACCACCCCTCGGGGCATGCGTCAGGTTATGGTCTGCGTGGACAGGTTCTCCAAATACGCAGAGTTCATCCCCTTGCCAGAGGTAGCTAGGTTACCGGTTGTGAGAGCAGCCTTCTCTGAGAGGTGGGTCACACACCATGGACCGCCCACCTCTATTGTTTGTGATCGAGACCCCAGATTTTGCAGCGATGAGTGACAGTCCTATTGCAAGGACTATTTGCACTCACGACTGGACATGACTCCTGGTCACCATCCTGAAGCCAATGGTTTGGCTGAAGTGATGAACCAAGTCTTGTTCCAGCTGCTGCGTCCTGTCATCTCTCCAGATCAAAAGGACTGGGATCGTCACTTAGCGAGGGCACAACTCATGTATAACATGTCTGTCCACTCCTCGACAGGGTTCAGTCCCTACCGGTTACACTGGGGACGTGAACCACGCCAGCCTCTCGATGATATCATCGACAAGGCTAAGCCTGATCTGACGCCAGGCACCGCAGAGTTCGCCAGACGCTATCGTCTGGATGTGGAAAGAGCCCGCGCGAACTTGTTCAAGGCCCAAAAGGCCCATGATTGAACAAGCCAATCGCCACAGGCGGCCTTCCCCCATCCGTACTGGTGATCATGTCTGGGTGGCCAGTTCTGCGCTGTCGAGGGAGGAGGATATCTCCCCCAAGCTGTTGCCACGCTACTTGGGTCCGTGGCAGGTCCTAGATACAGTGGGTGCTGATCCTTTCGGCCCGTCGTATGTTATTGACGTCCCGCTGCATCTATGTACCTATCCGGTCTTCCATGCATCCAAGCTGCTACCTTTTATGCCAGCTGATGCATTCCTTGACCGGCCCCCTCAATGGGGCCCACCAATCCCTGGTAAGGGATATGATGTGGTGGCCATTGAGGATGAGTGGGGCACAGGCCCCTACCGACAGTATCTTGTCAGGTTCACTTTCCAGCCCCCTTCCGAGAACCGGTGGTTCTACAGAAGAGACCTGATCAAGACAGCAAAGTCTGTTGTACTGCGCTATGAGGCGGCTCAGAAGGGTGACCTTCGCCGTTCGCCTCGTCTGCACCCCTAGCTCGGAGGTCCTCGCTCCCGAGGAGGGTAAGCCTGCAATGACTTGCTGATTTCTGCTACCGAGATTAACAGCGAGGCTGTACACTACCCTGGTAGGTTAGATTCGTAATTTTGTTTGGCTGAGGGCTAACCGAGAGACCTGCGTGTAGGGAAATTCTTGAGGGACAGATCTGTAAATCTGGGAAAATATAGGCCCAGTACTAACCTGAATTCCTACAGCTACCCTAACTGCTGATAGCAGGCCCGGGCTACCCCTAGGACAGACAGGCCCTAAGCGGCCTATGCTGCTAGACGGTCCTATAGCCTATAGCCGGGTCCGGTAGAGGCCGAGAGGCCGAAACAGCAACGGTACCGGTCGGTCAGTCAGTCCGGTCTAGGTCTAGAGAGTCTATAGATAGGTTAGGCTCACCGGTTCAGGACTTTTTGGCAGTTCATTTCTCACGAGCAGGGTTGGGAGAAGCCAAGGAAGTTGGTGGCGGTACCTGTCTACAGGCGGCATCCTGAGACACGCCGTGACAGCAGCCATAGCCGGCCCTCTCTAAGTTTGCCATAGCTAGGGCACCCTCAGCGCATCTACCCCTGGGGGTATCTGCATCTGGCCGGGCTACTTCGAGGCTCTACATTGAGTGATTCGTGGGTGGTGGCAGCCATAGCTGCCTGTTCCTTCGTCAGAGTTGTCCATCGGCACTGAAGACTCCATCGCAGGACCTGTTCTTCATCAGGGTGGTTGGCGCTGGCCTCTGAGAGGCTGTTCTGATGCAGCGCTACTAACTGGGTGTAGGATAGAGAGTGGGGTGTGAGTTTTGGGTGTGGCGAGATACTGGAACAAACTCTGTTACGATATTATGTGAGTGGCTCATCATCAGTGACAGTTTCAATTGTGATCTTCGCAGGTTCTTTCGTGTGATTGGTTGTTGGGAGTTGTGTCAGAGAGTGAGAAACACTGTGTGTCTTCTCTCCTGCTGTGCATAATTGTCTTCCGCTGTTTATCTTTACCTGTGTGCAGTGTGGACTCTGTCTCCTCTCTCCCCATCTCTTGTGCATGTATGGGCATGTATGAGACTGTCTGTGTGTGAGTGGCGAGAAAATTCGCGCCCGTCCTTCGTCGGGCAAGAAAGAAGGAATTCCGACGGTGGTTGCAGTAGGTGTATGACCAACATTGCATGTGGAACATGCCAGGAGAGGATGTGGCGGACGATGGCACCGGGGATAGTCCACGCAGTAGAGACACATACTTTCTATGACCAGCTTCCTGGAAACATTAACGACACATGGCAGACTGTTGACTTGTCATCAGCAAAGAAGGCTGACGTGCACAATTATTCAAGCATGGCAGATCAAGGCCACAACAGCATGCTGGGCAAGCAATCAAGGGGTGTGGGGGGTGAGCACAAGACAAGGATCGCAGTTTTCGTGGCAGAGGCTGGCAGCGACCATCCCTTTCTAGTGTTCGGAGCAGAGGCTATGCTGTGCACTTGCTAACTGGACTGTACCTGTGCGACGGCGCAATGGGAGGAGGGCACAATCTCCATCCCTTGGAGAGGTCCCTTCACTGTTTGTGGTAGAATCCGTCCGATCCACATAGGGAGGGGCTGCTGCCTGACCATGCACAGGGGAAGTCTGTGTGTGTGTGTGTGTGTGTGTGTGTGTGTAAACGCAACCCATGACAGGTACAATATCTTGCCAACAGACATCGACATTGCATATGAAAGCAGCTTTAATTCACACCATACAAAAAATCAGCTCAAGACATACGTTCAATTGCATCCTACCGACTATTACTAAATCAAGGAGCAGCATTCATTAGAGCGAAAAGGGGGAGAGTAGAAGACTTCAGTATGGCATAGTAAGTTGCTAGCCATATGGGCCATAGTAGCCTTAGAGAGGTGGGAGAGATGGTGGAAGGGAGCAGGGATGGTATAGTAGTCATCAGTGAGATGGTTTAGTAAACATCGTAGAGGGGTGGCACATCCCCTAAAGCACTTTTTGCTGCGTGTGGCCATAATTGCTCATCAGATGTAGTCTTCTGGCTCCACAGAGAGAGAGAGAGAGAGAGAGAGAGAGAGAGAGAGAGAGAGAGAGAGAGAGAGAGAGAGAGAGAGAGAGANGTGGTTGTTGCGCGGCCGGCCACCATCCCGGGCAGCTGCCAACACTTCACCCTCGTTTGGTGTTGCAGCCTCGGAAGAAATAATGCAAGCCACCTTTGGCTTGAGCTGGGTGCCGCTCTTCGTCGCGGAAGATCGGCCTGCGTTGCGGGCTTCGATATTTGTCAGAATGATCCGTGACGCTGTGCTAAAAAGCTTGTCGGATGTGTCGAGTGTCTCTGCAAKCTGCGTAAGCGCGTTTTGCAGTGCCGAACACGAGCGCATGATAAACAAGTGCTTGATGGCGCGGAATGCGAGCGGCAGGTTAGGTGTGGAGGCGAGTCTTTGAAACTCGGTGATCCAGTCCTGACTGAGCAGCGTGTTTTGATGGAGCTTGTTGAGCTTGTCCATCGCTTGCAGGTCGGGCGGCTCCACTTGGAATCGCTTGTGCCAGGCGTCGGTCAATTCCTGCCAAGTGAGCTTGGTGTGTAGTTCCGACACTGCTACGCCGTGGCTGGTCAAGATGTTGTCCAGCCATGCTTGACACGCACCACCAGATCGGTGGTACAAGCACGGATGTCAATCGTTGTTCGGGACATGGTGCATGTCGAGCCGGAGAGTAAACTGGCGCCACCACGGGATCGGTTCCGTCTTGGACTGATCTCAGAAGACTGGAATGTCATCTAGCTTGGGTGGGCGCCTGGAGGATGCGGCGGCGGGCGTCACGGTGGCAGCAGCCTGGACCTGCGTCTCCAACTGCAAGTTCGTTGCTTGCTGCGACGTCCTGAAGTCCTGATGCACACGCTTGATATTGCCGACGTCGTCCTCCAAGACTCGAACACGGGTCGCAAGGTTTGCAGGCCCTGCGGCTGCTACAGCTGCTGGCTGTTTTTCCAACGCTTGCAGCCGTGCGAGCATCTGGTCCACTGTCTGCTGCAGATGGAGGATTTCCTCCTGCTGCAGAGCGCAGGTGGCCACGAGGTCGTGGGAAACCTGTGCAAGGGCTGACAGCCCTTTCTCAGTCTYCGGGGCCTCGTCTGTAGATGCCATTTCCACCCAACGTGCGGCCTCATCGCCAATCACGGTCTCCCGTGTGAATAGTCGTTCCCGCTGGCGTGACCGGTGTTCAGCTGCCGCCTGCAGGTCTGCCTCCTCTTGACGAAGTCGGTCCCGTTCCTCCTTCTGTCGCTTGGCCTCCTCCTCTTGTTCAAGCTGCTGACGTTCCTTGGCCGCGGCGGCGGCCCTATCGTTGGCCTCTTGAATGAATGCCGCCAGGCGTTCCTCATAGCTCAGGAGGGATTCCCCCGCCTTCCGGTCCATGGCCTTGGTCTGTGATCGAGTGAGCAGTGTCATGCACTGCTGTGCCCGAAGTCTGAAGAGTCACGCGAGGGCCAATCTAACGGACTGGCCCCGTGCCCGGACTGGAGGGGGAGGAACAGGTAGGGAAGGGTCGGACAGATCCCAAATTGAACAGTTCCCTGGTCAAGCAAAGAGTAATAATTAAGAAAGAATTTAAATAAATCAAAATTCGAAAAGAAAAGATTGTCCAATACCACTGAGTGCCGAAGGTGATGCA